GAGATAGATCTAGTGATCTGATCTAGTTGTTCCCCTTTATGCTAGTTATAGCAATATTAATTGGGTGGTTTGGGGCTAGTTTTTGAGCTCTAAAGGCGTATTGTCGAAGAGCGTTGTTTAACCTTACTCTAGGTGGGTAGAGGCAGGCCTCTACCTCACTAGGTATAGTTGGGGAGGTCTTAAATGTGCCTAGAATCTTCCTACACGCTCTGTTTTGTAGTAATTGCCTTTGTTTAAGAGCTAGTTGTTGTTGTTTCTAGAAGATCTGACAACCATAGTCTGCTACGCTAGTGATGCAGGCAAGGTATAATTGTCTAAAGGCTCTAGGTGATAGACCTTTATTGCTATTTGCTAGTCTGCTTAGCCGAGTAAAGGCTTGGCTTGCCTGTTGATTTCTAATAAAGCAGTGATCCTTGAACTTAAGGGCTTTGTCAAAGTAGATGCCTAGCCATCTAATTTGCTGTTTTGGTTGAAAGGTCTCCTGGGTGGGTAGTGTGAGAGAATCTTGATCCTTTTTTGATCTAGTCCAATTTACTAGTTTAGTCTTTGAGCTGTCGAATTTAATTGCTAGCTCCTCTGCTAGGTTAAAGAGTTTTTGGGTCTCTTTTTCTAGTAATTTTACGTTTTTCTTAATAGATGTTGTAGATACTGATATCTGTAGGTCGTCTATATAAGAAGAGGAGTAGATATTTCCGTTTGTTGTAATTGACTAAAATAGTGGTTTTGTGTAGATTAAAAATAGGATTGGAGAAGCGGGGCTGCCTTAGGGCGTACCAGTGTTTACCCCCTGTAGATCTTCTACTTGGCCATTAAAGGATAGCTCTAGTAGTCTGTTTTCTAGGAAGGATTTAGTCTAGGATAGCAGGCAGCAGGGAAGTCCTTAATCCTTTATGTTTTTTAGTAGCTTGTTTTTAGCCACGTGATTAAAGGCTCCTTTTATGTCTAGAAATATAGTTGTAGTAGTCCTATACTTCTTTTTCTACTGCTGTATATTATTATAGAATAGGAGAGCAGCGTCAATTGCTAATTTCTTTAATCTCCCGCCTAACTAGGTAGGGTGGAGTAAGTCTGTTGTTTCTGCTAGTGCTCCTAATCGTCTTGCAAATAGTCTTTCTAGTACTTTCCCTAGGCAGCTTAAGAGTGAGATAACTCTATATGCCTTTGGGATAGAGTAGTCTGGCTTTCCAGGTTTCTTTAGAATAACTCCTTTAGCTTTTCTCTAGCACTTTAGTTGGTAGCTAAAGTTAAATAGAGCTAAATATATCTTAAAGAGTAATTCTAGCTGTGCCTAATAGACTTTTTGGACTATATCCTGGCTAATTAAATCTAGTCCTGGCGAGGTAGCTTTTACGCTTACGCAGGCGAATTCGAGCTCTTCTTTTGTTAAAGCTAGCCACTCCTATCTACTATCTCCTTTATAGGTATTTAGTAGTGGGGCTAGAGTAGATAGTGGTAGGAGGAAGAGATCTTCTCTAAAGGCTTGGCATTTTTCTCTAAAAGTCTCCTTGCCTTTAATAGCAGGTATCCTTATAGATAGGTTGTCTTTTGTGTAGGCCATAGCTTTAAATATCTCTTTTGGCGTCTCCTTTTGTAGGAAGGTTTCCCAGTGGTTAAGCTTAGCTTTTTTAATAGCTTTTAGATATCTGTATTTTGCAATAAGATACTCTTTTTTCCACTAGTTGATTTAGCTGTTGTCCTCTCTACTAGCTTCTCTTTTTAGGACTCGAAAAGCTCTGTTTTGATCCAACTTTAGGTTATCTAGCTCACTAGTCCACTAAGGTTTTGGCTTTAGTTTCTAGCTAACTAGTAGGGTGGATTCTTTTAGAGCTGTTTGTACTACTGTTGTAATATCTTCTCCTAGTTTCTCTAGTTTCTCTACTAGGGAGTTATCCTGACCTAATAGGATCTTTCTTGATAAATAGCTAGAGGTGTGGGGTAGGTCTATGTTCTGTATTTATGTTCATGTACATAGTAGTTGTTAGGTTTGTCGAGTACATGTAGTCTTTTCTTTTTATGTAGAGAGGAGAAACATTGAATCTATGAGTACACATGTCACAAAGATTTGAGTTTTTGAACCATAGCATATACTTCAATATCCAGGGTATTTATTGCATATATATATATATTGTCCAATGGCAATCTCATACAACATTGTCACGTCATGTACTGTACTGTGCTGCACTGCAGGGTATTTCTCTCTTCTATCCCGTTTTGCACAAAACATAACAAACAAACAAACAAAAAGAAAGAAATCAATAATATCCTTGTTCTGATTCACAGACTTGAACCGTTAGATGCCCAAGTAATACTTGCCCCGTTCATATGCATAAAAGCTGACAGCAGCCATGGGCACGACCTTGACATATCCAATCGACAGGCCAACGAAAAATCCCTTGTAGCCTCTCTCCAGGTAGATTCGGCGCGCCACCTCGGCAATGCTGAGTCGGTGGCCGTCGCCAACCACACCACCAACTTGCATGCGCCGGCGAATGACTTCGAGCGGGTACGAAACCGTTTGCGAGACGAAACCGGCAATGCCGCCCGTGGTGAGCTCGGCCCAGTAGCGCAACTGAGCGGGCTTGTGTGACGAGGTGCTGGTTTCCTCGCGCGAGGTATTGGGCAGCGTCGTGTAAGGCGCGAGAACGGGGATGCGCATGACATCCGACATGACATCGTGGGCCAGGAACGAGGCGCCGGCATAGGGAATCATGCCGAGAAGCGTGGGTGTGAAGCCACGGAAGAAGTTTGCGAGACCAGAGCGCGGGGTCACGGTATCGACGACTTGTGTGGCGGTTGCGGCAAGGGGGTTTTCCGGCCGGTGGACTCTGGGTGCTTGTTCCGAGTAGATTTTGCGGACAATGGTGCTTAGGCCGCTGCGCGACTGCTCGCTCGTCTCGAATGCGAGGCGCACGCGGATGACTTCGAGGGGGTATGTCAGAAACACGCTCATCATGCCGGCCAGGCTTCCAGACACAAAGCGGCGGACGGGCGTCTCCTGCGCCTTGTTCTTGATGACGCGAGCGCGTATTTGCTCGTAGGCAAGGAATTTGACGCCCGCGTAGGGAAAGATGCGGAGGAGGGTTGCCGAGTGGCCTTTGAAAAGACCACGCACACCGGCACTGTGATAGATGTCGCGGATGGCCGAGGGGAAGCCCGACCACGAGCCCGTGTATTTGGCAAACTCGGGGTTGCGCGTCTGGAACAGGATCTTGACACGGTCGAGGGGGCCTACCACCGTCTTGGCCTGCCATGTCCACATTAGCCACTGCCGGGTAGTCTAGCCTGTCGAGTGTGTACATACGGCGCATCCGGCGAAGCCCCCGGCCAGGCCGCTCTTGATCAGGTACTCTGGACTCTTCTTGTCCGTCTTCCTCTTCTTGTCTGACGCCATGTCGACGCGCTGGTCGTCCCTTTTTCCTGGCGCGGCCGGCTCATGGCCTGAGACGAAGGTGGCTGCGCGGGTTGTTTGCGCGGCCGTCACTGTCATCGTGTTTGTCTGGTTTCCGTCATAGCGGAGGAGATGCGTGGACATTCCAGAGTGGCGCGAAGGGGACTACCGCGACATGGGGCTTTTGCGGCTGGGTGTTGTGGGCGGCGGGCGTGGGCGGCGGGCGCAGACGACTGGCGAGGCCGCGCGGGCGAGGATAGGCGTAGGTGGAGAAAGTAGGTGTTGGTGCCGGTGTCGGTGTCGTGGTGGTGGTGGTTGTGTGTGGCCTGTCAATGACGTTACCGAGGCTGGCCCGGTCGTTGTTTCCGCCCGCCCTCGAGCAGAATGGAATGTGCGAGAGCCGAGCCGACGCTACCCATGGCCCGTACACGTACACGTACACGCACACGTACGGAAATCGTTTCCACCAGACCCACGCGCCTATCCGAGAGACAGTCGAATCGCATTCGCCAGACGCTCACGTGACGAGCCATCAACACCACAACATAGTACTTGGCCACGTCCATATATCAAATCCCTACGACGGCCTTTGGCCGCGGCGTGCTCCCGGAGCCATGGCCGCCCCAAGCCCCATCCTCTACCAAAACGCCGACGCAGACATTACACTGATGGACATAGCCGCCTCGATTGTCGCGGCCCAAGGCGACCGCTCCGACACACTGCTTTCGACTAGGCCACTGGAAGCGCCCATCAAACTCAACCACGCCTCCCACGCCAGGCCCAAGCCACCCAGGGCGGGACCCGCGGCGGCCAGAAGCCACGGCATCAGCCGTTCGCAGCAAAAGACAAGCACTAGTCCAGTCGGTCCCCGCGAAGACGCCATGGACCCTTCCAGGCACAAGTTGCCGTCACGCGACCTTGACGATCGGCAGTACAAGGCCCTCGTCCAACATGCACTCGCTCAAATCCGCCCGCACGTTTCAGGCCCATGGTGCATGCCGCGCAAGCTCATGACCCAACCGCCACGGTGCGGGCAAGAAGAGACGGCTGACTTGCATGGCCGCCCCACGGAAAAAGAGTTGGAGTCGAGCATGCGCGAGTGGGCCTCATGGAACCAAGCCCGGGGAGACGACACGGCCTTTCATCTGCAGCAGATGATGGCCTCGCTGGGTGTGGGCGCCGCGTCTGGGGCTGCAGAAGCGGCCGCCGTGACACACGGGTGGCTAGTGTCGTACCGCCATGCACATGAGACTCACGACGACGACGACGACGACGACAACAACAACAACAACAACAACAACAGTACACCTGGTAGTAGTACACAAGACACACAGACGGAGCCATGGACGTGTGCCTTTCACAATCCCCACAACCACTCACTGCGAGCGGACATTGTCCAAAACACGCGCCCGCGTCAAGACTATCGTTTCACAATACCACCTCGGGCCACTCTCTTCCTCAGCGACTCAACCGCATCGGACGCCTTCCGACGGTCGTTTCGTCAACTCACCGACGAACATGCCCTTCCACGACACTTTGACCTAGTGCTGCTGGATCCGCCGTGGCCCAATCGGTCGGCCAAGCGCAAGGGCGCCTACGAGCAGGTTGGCGGCATGCCGTACCTCCGCAAGATGCTGCTCAGCATGGACATTGACACGTATCTGGAGCAAAATGCGCTGGTGGGCGTGTGGATCACCAACAAGGCGTCTTTGCGAGACCATGTGCTCGGTCCGGGCGGCCTGTTTGAGACGTGGAACGTAGGCCTGATGGAGGAGTGGATATGGGTCAAGACGACAACAAAGGGCGAGCCCATGTTGGACATTGACAGCGCCATGCGCAAGCCATATGAGATTCTGTTGCTGGGCCGTGCAGCGCCCAACTCGTGGACAAGCATGGTGCATGCGCCCACTGTCAAGACGAGGGTGATTGCTGCTGTGCCAGACATACACTCGCGCAAGCCGTGTCTCAAGGCGTTGCTCGAGCCCTACTTGGTGGATGCGACTGACTACAGTGCACTCGAGGTGTTTTCCCGGTACCTTGTCAGTGGATGGACGTCGTGGGGTAACGAGGTGCTCAAGTACAACTGGGAGGGATATTGGGAACCAGGTCCAAGTGCTGGACCGGAATGCTGACTTCTCACTCGGGCTGGCGATTCAGCAATCTTGATAGCCCCTTGTCAATGTAGTCATTGAGACCCTGTGCCATGTTCCCGTATACCTATCGACGTCAGCAATTTTTCGCCGCGAATGATATCATCAACCCCTTATTCTCGCGATACTTCCCGCGAGGGAAAAAAAAGAAAAAAAAACCCTTGAGCCTTCATTTTATGACAGTTATGATGAGCACGATCATCCTTCTCACCCGCTGCATCATGAAATCATAGCGAACAGCCCGCCCCCCCCCCTCGGAAGCCATCTTGACTGAAGGGTCAATCTTTGCATTGTGTTGACCTTTTCCGCACGCAACCCCACAAAGTCACCGAGATAGAGCCAGCTCCCCCATCCGCGCGGTGCGGATATGACGTCTGTCGTTCCCCACCATCACGCACAGCATACCTAAGTAATCCCTTGCCTTGTCTCCACCCCATGTCGGATCCCGAAGACTGGATGGAGAAGAAGAAGAAAAAAATCGGACGCAGACGTGCAGCGTGTGGGGTGTGGCAAACGAGGTCGATCCCTCGACGAACATGGTGAACGGGGCCTTTTTTTTTGAAGCTCCCGCTTCTCCCTCCATGTCGGGCCCGAAAGGCCAAGACGCCGGAATCCGTAACCGGTAACCCGTTGACAGGCAGGGTCTTCCCCTCCCCCCTCCCCCCTCCCCCCCACATGTGCGTGTGTAAGTACAGAAAGTGACCGAATGCGGCAATTCGTCTAGTCCGTGTTGCTCGGCGTGTTGATTGCGCACAAATGGGAGGGAAATGGTGACACTAGCAATGACCAAGATGGGGGGGTAAGATGTGGAGATGAAGGGAGGAAGGAAGACATGGATCCACTATCGAGGATGGTTTTTCCTTGGTGTTCTTCTTGGTTGATAGCGATACGAGCCTGTCTTACCCCGCTGCTATACCGCTGCTATCCCCGCTGCTATCAGCCTTGGTCTTTGCTTTGTGTGTTTCGTACAAGTAACGAGCGCACACCTTATCATACTAGTACATGGCTAAGGAAGAGTACGAGATGCGCCCAAGGCCATGATGGGGTGCACAGCAATCTCGCTTCCCTTTGGCATCCGCATCCGCATCCGCCGACTGCACAAGTGGAGGTGTAGAGGCTGGGAAAGCCAATCTCGTGGGAAGATGGAGGCGTATAATGGGAAAAGAAAAGAAAAGGCAACATGGCAAAACCATTCGCCAAACTGGACTGGCACAGCACACCGTTCGTGCTTCACCGTTTACTGACCATTGTGTACATGCACATAATCTATACATGCACACATGCATAATAGGCTCGCGGCATCCGTTCTCCCCGCCGCCGCCACCACCATGGCTGACTCTCTTTTCTTCTTTTGTTCCTTTTTCGCCATCTCGTTTGCTCTTCCCGCAGTCAGCCATATGCCTCAGTTGTCGTTTAGGTGCAGTCGCTTTGGGCTTTGGGCTTGCCCGCGCCACGGCTTGTATACACCCGAAAGCCGCGTACGTACATGGCAATGAGATTGGGTGCAAGAAATGCAGCATGCCAAAGTGAGAGGGCGAACAAGACGTCCCAAACCACCATGTCGCCTTTCTTTTCTCCACGATTATCCACATACTATACATGCAACCACATGGGGGGATGGCGCAGTGGTGGAGCGCCTGGAAAATTTTCTGCTGTCTCACGTCAGCAAAGATCGAAGGTTCGAATCCTTCTCCCCTCACAACCATATTTATGGTCCACCCACATGAGAGAGTTACTCATTAAAACTTGAGAGGAAGACTCATTTAAAGTGAAAGATCTGAGAGAGTTACTCACTAAAAAACTACTAGGCTACGAGTCTCACCTTCATTTAGATAACCCCCTACATTGTACCTACTCAATTTGTACCTAGATTAAATTCTAGCCTACGTAGTTACTTGCAGGCCTTAAGCCTGCACGTCTTATATAGCCCTTTGGGCTGAGAAAGGACGTTAAACTATAATAATAATAATAATAATAATATACATGCAACCACGCCACGGAACCACGCCTTTCCGCTTTGCTTGTGATGGATAGATGGATGGATAGCCGAGGCGTGGCGAGAAGAGACGAGGTAGGTGTAAGACAAGGGAAGGAAGGGAAGGGCACATGCAACTGGGCGCTGCATCACATGCGACATGAGCATGCACGCGCGCACAACATGAGGCGGGCAAACTCTTGTTGCACGCTGCGCCTTTGGTCGTGTGTAAACTAGCAGTGGTGCATTGATGCCTGGTGCCAGTGCGAGGACATGGAATCTGGTTGACTATACTTGGTTGAGTGGCACGCTAGAAGCGAGGAGCTGGTGCGTCACATGGCCGCACACACATGCAAACGGACATGGGCACGCACGTGTTGGGAAAGAAAGACTAGGTGTACTATAGAACGGAGCAGCAAGACGAAACAGAGGTCGGGGGGGGATTGGGTGTTGGTGTGGAGGGGAGTGAAGTGCATGGCCCGTGGAGAGAGAGAGAGAGAGAGAGAGAGAGAGCGAGAAGGATGCGATTAAGCGAGAAAACAGCAGAAGCGAGCAAACACCACAGGGCGCGGGTCTTGGCGCGGGTCTTGAAAAATGGGGGGGGGGAGGAAACAAGTCACGGCATCAGGCGGCTCCTCACTCACCCTCAACAACAAGTCAAGTCTGGAGACGTGCATGTGTGCTCTGGGCTCACCGGGAGACGTGGCAAGACTGAGAGATGACTCCTCGTCTTCTCCCCATCTCACCCGCGCCAAACAGCGCATACCGACTCTGTGTATGTATGTATGTAGTACCGTGGATCGGCACTTGTGCTTGGGCAGCTGGGCCAGGCGCATGCACATGTTGTGTGGGTGTGTGTAGACTACCGAGCGTGCCGCAATCAATCAATCAATTCCTCTCTCTCAACATGCACCCGTCGGGCCTTGGTTTCATGCCATGCAACCAGACACGCTGCCATCCAATCGATCCCGATTCAATCCGATGGCTAGCAAACGTCGTGGATATGTCTACATGTACTTGTATGTGCAACCAACATGGCGGTGACTCACCGCTCTAGCGCCATTCCCGTTGGCATGCACTCGACATGCACAGCCATGCAAGCCATGCAAGCCATTCGCCTCCAGCCCGAGTGGGGTTATAGTCGTTTCTTTTTTCCTGTTTTTCACGCCCTTTTTTTTCTTCGTTTTTTTTTTCTTCAAGCTTGCATCATGCACGATCGCGGCGAGGGGTAGTATTCTTGTTCTTGTTTTTTTTCGGCTCGTGTTTGCGATAAGCGCGGAAAGTGGGGTGTGTTGTCTTGTGTGGTGGTGTTGATGCTTTGTTGGGTTCTTGGGGGCGTTTGGCTCGGCTCGCTTGAGAGTAGCTGGCAGTAGCTAGCAGTAGGCTACGGACCTAGTGTGGGAGTGTAGACGTACAGGTAGGGTGGGATGAAGCAGGCAATTGGAGGTTTGGCTAACATGCGTCGTGGGGTTTCTCGGTCAATATGGGAGACATCTGACTGAGTGCGGGAACGTCAGTCGGCAACCAAGGGCAGCGCCGGAAGGGACAGGCAGCACGTGAAGCAGACTAGCGATATCGCAGAAGAAGCAGGCTTGTTTCATGCCTGCAGCCGTGTACCGCCCTCACGATTGCGATGGAAATTCTCCGCACTACACTACCCGCTACACTGCACTGCACCACAGCCACCGGATGATTTGTCTTGCTCGGCGCTGGTGGTGGTGGTGGTGGTGGTGGTGGTGGTTAGGCTTGTCATGTGGGCCACGGCGTTGGCGCATGGCTGCCGTGTCGATGTTTGCGGCATGCAATCAATGCCTTTGAGGTGTGCGTGCCTGTGCCTGTGCCTGTGCATGGGCGGGCGGGGTGGGCGGGGGCGAGTGGTGGTGGTGCGTGCCCGCGCAAATCTGGGGATGGTGAAGGCGAAGAGGCGCATGGAAGCCGACGAAGCTTCGACGCTGGCTCGCCTTTGGACATGGGCGCGCTGCCCACGGAACCGCCGCTAGCACCACGACGACGTCTCGTGTCGAGCACATGCACGTGGTTGCGCAACGCATGCAATAGAGCCGAGGCCTCTTCTGGCCTGAAACCCGGGGGGGTTCGCGGTGCATGTGGTGCTGATGCTGGTGCTGGTGCTGGTGCTGGTGCTGCCGCACAGAATGCGGCGACTATGTTTGGAAGGTTTGGGGTTGTTCAAAGTTTGCCTCCCTCGGCCTTGTCGTCGCCCGGAACAATGGCTCCGTTTCGAGAAGCGCGCTATACAAGTACAGGTATGCAGGGTCTGGCTGCCACCACTACTGTATATTGCCAGCCTGCCCTCCACCTAGTGCACACCAAGTACACTACCACTACCACTACCACTAGCAGCTGTCTGTATCCATCAAATGACGTCGCGCTGCAACGAGCCGCAACAGCTCCGATGTAGCTCCGTGCTGCAGAACATGCAGTCCGTGTCTGAAGTTTCTGCCGTGGTTACAAGGCTATCCGCAAGCGTACGGGGGCAGTGGAGCGATAGGCCTCGGCTGCTCCCGGTCTGTTTTCGCTGGCCAGGCCCGCTGCCTGTCGCTGAGTGGCTGAGGCGCCTGGCGAAAACCGGCCGGGTGCTGTGGCTGTGGAGCTGCTGTGGCAGCCTCAGTTCATGCACCACCACCACACATGCACATGCACGCATGCGCATTTCTCCCATGGTGGAGACGCGCGCAATAATGCCTCGCACATGATTCATTGCACCCGTTTCCTGTCCGCACCAGTGCCAGCGCCATATTGGCTTTCATTTTGCATGCGCCGACAGGAAACGTGTTCCGCCGGGCATTAATGAGCACTCGCCGCTTCAGGCAAGCTGCCATGGCTGCAACGGGTAAATGCACGCGCGCCATATCGACTTTCCTGTTTGGGAAGCCCAGCCGCCGCATTCAAAAGCCGTCGCGCTCATTCATGCCTAGCCCTAGCCCGGCCCTGTCGTGGTAGTACATGTATATACAAATCAGCCTCTGTCTCTCTCTCTCTCTCTCTCTCTCTCTTTCTCTCTCTGCAACACGGCGCAGATGACGCAAAACCAAGGGGGCGCATGCGACGCGGGCTTTACTGTACACAAATCTTGTCAGCCTCCCGAGTGCGAGTGATGTGTGATGCACGTCAGCCGTAAGCATTCGTGGTATGACAATTGGCCCCAAGGTTTCGCTGGCCTGTGGCGGGTTGCACTTGGATCCGCTGCGGATGCGGATGCGAGCCATCAGCGAGCCCTGACACATGTCGAGGGCGCGACCACGGCGACGACCAAGACGACGACTGGCGGTCGGGCCGGCGTGGATTGTTCCGCCATTAGACCTGTGCTAGTGCTAGTGGCTCGTAGGGTAGTGGTAGGGAGTAATATCCATCGAGACATGTCCGAGGAGTAATTCGGTCGGCTGGACCCTGACGCCCGAGGAGCCTGGTCGCCGACGGATGCATGTCATGGCCGAGGGTCCTTTGAGACGTGGAGCACCTGAGGGGGTGGCCAGGCCTGACCTAGTGTAGGAGCACGCGTGGGCGTAGGCCTTGGTTGGGCAGCAGCATAGGTGCACACCTAGTGAGTGTGTGTGTGTGTGTGTGTGTGTGTGTGTGTATAGAGGGCTGGCCGGAGAAGCGGACAGGCAGCCGGCCAAAGGCGTGGGCGGCGGCGGCGGCGGCGGCGGCGCGGAAAAAGGGTCTCTTGGCTCGAGCGCTGCTTCCCCTTCTGCCATCCCCGAGATGATCCCTCTTGCACGCCCACGCGCCGCTTACCGCATGCGGCAGTGCAGCAAATGCTACGGCGACAGGCTGCTCGCGAGGAGCCGGGCTGTGGCGTGGCGGGCGTCGCAGGGCCTGTTTCCGCTGTCATTGTCACACAGACACACCCGGCCAGTGCTTCTTCTTTTTTGCAATTATTTTTTCTCCTACATGTACGGCGCGGGCCAGGGCCGGGGCTGGGGCCAATAAAGGGGCGCTACCGCAATCGGCCGCACCAGGCTGCCAGCTGCTCGACGCGGGCAAAGGGGCGGTCTGAGCTGCGCCCGGTTCCGCCAACCACAGCGCGCGCCCTGCAAAGAGCGGTCGCTCACCGACTCGAGCCCAAAGGCAAATCACAGCGCCCGCCCCCATGCTCGCGTTTCATGGCGGTCCGGAGCGAGGCGTCGACCAACAACCGCAACCGCTCCAGGCAGAGAGATATATGGAACAAGCCTTCCGCCCTTCCCCCTCCCCCATGTCACCAGCACGCAACCGACTGACTCCTCCGTCTGATCTCCGCTCCAGCCCTCTGTCCGCGCCCAAAACCACCCGCCGCTGACTCGGACGCCTGACGCTGCCCCGGTACGACAGCGCCAGAACGGATATTACTGCTATTGCTCCTACTAGTACTACGTGCACGACAAGATATTTAACACGTCCCACCCGCTGCTGCCCCTCCCGGCCCTCGCTCCCACGCACGTTGCCACATCACACACTGGCCGATTGCGCTATCCGCACCCACACCCACACCCACACCCACGCCCCGGCGCTACCCACCTAGTCCCGACAACCCTGCCTGGACTCTTATCCACACCGGCGTCATACATCATCAGCCCTCCGCACCTCGGGCCAGTTGCCGCTCCTCTAGCCGCGACGAAAAAAACACGAAAACCAGCGTAAACACCCAGCGCCCTTTAGTGCCGAAAGTGCCCGCAAGTCTCTATATACACAAGACCCACCCCGTACACTACCTCGCTACACACCACACACACACACATACAGTCACACACATATATACAAACACGCACTCACACACATATACTCACACACCCACACAACACTCACACACAACACTCACATCCACCACCACCACCACCACCACCACCATGCACTTCGAATCATCCCCAGGCTCCTCGCCCTCCAAGTCCATGCCCATCAGCATCTCGCCCAGGAACATGTCGTCGCCCACAAACTCCCTCTACAGCATCTACGCAACCGAGTGCTCGTCGCGCGGCTCGTCGTGCGCTTACCCGTCATGGCCCACAGGCCCCTCGCTCGACCACCGCAGCCCTCCCTCGTCGTACATTAGCGATGCCGACCTCTTTGGCGAGGACTTTGACGACGACTTTGCCTGCCCTCTGCTCGAGGAGGCACCCGCACCGCCCCGCGTGCCCCCCATGGCCCAGGCTTTCCCCATCCTGCCTCCGCTGTACGCGCAAAAGAAGCCCAAGACGGAGCGCCGCCGCAGCAGCAGCGGCCGCAAGCAGCGCCGCACCTCGAAGCCCATGACGCCCATCGCAGAGTCGCCCGAGCAGCAGGTGGAATGAGCCGCTCGGCTTCTCATCGACTCATCATGACTATTGCACGCCTGCTGTAAGTCATGGTGACTGGCATCCAATCGCCGAGCCCGACTGACGCATGTTTATCAGCGCCTGTCCCTGACAAACAACGACGTCACCATTGGCACGCCCACGCAGGGCCAGCTGGGCTGGTCACATGAGAGCTGCCCGCCACGTGCCGCCTCGTTTCCTGGCACTCAACTCACGCACTCCCCCACCCTCTGCCGCCTGAAGCGCGGCAGGCTGTGCATTCTTTTTATTCACATTTTTGCGGTGCATCTCAGCACCACACATGTACGTACTACACACGTATGACTCACACCATGGCCACCGTGTCAGATTGCCAACGATACGGTGTGCTTTTTTCCGACTGCATCCTCGCAGCCGCTGATTGGACCACACGAGCACCCGCTACCGCCGCACCAGTTGTTTCTTGCGGTGAGGCCGGTGAGACGGGTAAGGAGACATGAAAGCAACGACTTCTTATTGGATACAAGTTGCACCAAAGCATGGTGACGGAACACGAGCATTTGCATCTGGCGTTTTTTTTTGGCTTTTGGCTTTGTTGCTGTCGTGCCGTGCAGCTGCGACAGTTGAGCGCGCATTTTTAGATACCCCCTTCTTTCGCTCTTCAACTGGTTAGGGCAGGGGGAGACCCTCGGCGATGATGTTTCGCCTTTCGCTTTAGTTTTCTTCTTCTTCTTTCTTTTTTCGCTCTTGCGTTTCGGCCTTGTGGTTGTTCGCCTTTTTTACTCTTTTTTTTTGATACCCCGCACATTACACATGTCGCACCTTCCTTTCTATGTAGACCACCCCCACCTTTCACCTTTACCCAATAGCCTACCTTTAGTTAGCATTATCTAGATACCCCCCCTTGATCCGGCCCCTCGACACGGCGCTTCACTTTATTTTTTTTATTCAGCATTAGCAATAGCAATGATTGATTCTGCTTCTCTTTTGGAGAGAAGGCTGCCACGTTGATTCCCCTCCATGTTTGTTGTCATGTGATGGATGTGATGCAAGGGTTCATGTTGTGTCATGGCACAAAGCCTCATTCCCCTGAATGCAGCTTGTTGATAGTCTTGTTGAGGCGTGTGGCGCTCTTCGCTTGGGGAGAGAGAGAGAGAGAGAGAGAGGGTCCAGAGTACCGGTAGATGAATGAGCATGGGGCGGGATCAAGTGTGGCACAAGCACAAGCACAAAGTGGGGGGTTCATGTTAATGCAAGGGGTTCAAGTAAGGAAAGGGATTCGGCCAAGCGAGCAGAAGCAAAAACAAAACTACACCAGTACATGAGGTCATGACACGGCATGCATCTATCTATCCATGTAGTACAGGATGTAATGAGTGGATTGGTACATGCAGGTGCATGTAGCATTTTGGACATTCATGTCCAGGTACATATGTAGGTAGAGGATACATGTCGTGACGCGAGGAAATGGAGGGCTAAAAATAAATGGCCGTGTGTAATCCATGGGTAAGCGTAAGCGTGTTGCGTGTAGCTGAGCTTAGCCGAGCGTCGACTGCAAAAGTCTAAAATAGGCGTGGGATGCGAGCGGAAGCAGTGTCGGGAATGTATCGCTTTGTTTCTCTGGATGCATGCTGGCTTGTACGTGTACCGAGATGGGTGCGTAGACACTGGACTTTATATGTAGCCATCTATGTTAGTCTGCCCAAAAGCTGGGGCCGTCAAGGGCCATGCTATGACGTAAGGCGTTGGGGTGCATCGTCGTGGTTAAGCGCCTCTATCGCGGCAGGCCTGATAGCCAATTTCCAGCGTCGTGGTATTGTGCTTGTGGTTTGCCATGTGATTTGGCGTGGCAGCAGTGTGACTATTAGACGGTGAGGCAATGTGGGGACCGACGACATGGGTGGCAATGTACATTGCTCGTATTCTTGTCTCTCTCGGGTCGCAAGTCGCCTTCTCTGCAAGTCACGAGTTGGCCATGCGGCGCTTGCAACGGGGGGGGGGATTTTATTTTTTGGTTTTTCCTTGGGAGCTATTCGTGGGTGGTTGAATGCATGCATGCATGTCTGTGTGCCTGACATGAAGCTAGCTGGGTGTGGGTTCAACGGTGTGGGCGGAAATGTGACGAGAATACATACATGTTGCGAGAGAGGGATAGAGAGAGAGAGAGGGAGAGGGAGCAAGTCGGTGGTTGCGGAAGCGCGGGTGGGGGGCCTTGAGGTAGCTAGTAGTAGTAGTAGGAGTAGGAGTAGTAGTAGTAATAGCAGCAGCAGCGACTATTTGCTCGCGTGCATAGCGGACGGTGGTTTACATTATATCCATATCACATCACGGCGGGCTGGATCGACGGGAGCTTGGACGGTGATGGGTGACGGATGGGCATGTCGTGCATGGATGCATTGGGCTGGGTTGCAGTGGTGGTGATGGTGGTGCAGGATGCCATGCGAAGAGTCACGGCATCTCCATCTCTCTTCCCCTCTCCCTCTCCCTCTCCCTCTCCCCCCCTCCCCCTCCCCCTCCCCCTCCCCCTCGCTCGCCATGGTTGCTGGATAGCAGCAGGCGTGCAGTATACAGCAGTCACAGCATCGTGCTCTCCATCACACGGGTCGCAGATTCGAGTCCGGCAGCAGCACCAGCAGCAGCGTCTTTTTATGGGGAGGGGCGTCGGGCGGCGGCGGCGATTGGCCACCAGCCAGCGCGAAAGTGTGATGGTCGTGCGGTAGGGCACAGGGCGCAGCCAATCAGCGCGCGAGTCGGCGGTGCGGCTTGGACGCCCCCGCCACGGCGGGCGTCGTGCCTGCCTGCTGCGTGCTGTGAGAGGCTGGTCGCGGCTGCCCGTCTAGTCGGCACATGCTCTGCCCGGCGCCAAGCTAACCACTAATGTGAGCCATCACCACCTTGGCCGCCCAGGATGCCGACCAGACGTGCTCCAATGCCCGTCTCTTCACAGCCCGCAACCCAAAATGTCCTTCGTCCTGGTTGGCTGCTGGCCCCCCAGCCAGCCCATGCTCAGCCTATGCTCAGTCTACTATTTCGAGCAAATATCTCGACCCCGGGCCCGGCCTCTAAGCGCCGTTACTGATCCCTCAACTCACCACCCGCTCGCTACTCACCACACTCTCCCTCCATTCCCACGCCTTCTTTGCCTGCTGCCGCTGCTGGTGACGCCTCCAGCTGACGCCCTTGCCCGCCCTGGTCTAACCGCTCAACTCGCACCCTTGCCCATACACAACCACCGCGGCGGGGCCAAACGGTACCCTCGTCCACACGCCGTGGACCTGTCCGCGCATCGTTGTTTAGCGCGCTCTTGTGCTCTCTGGTGAGTGAGTTGCAATTCCCCTAGCCCTCCTCCTCTCCCTCCTCCTCCTCCTTCTCACTCTACTGCTCTCCGCCTCCTGCTGCCTCCTGCTGCCTCGCTCCCTCCCCCTCCCCCTCCTCAGCGGAATGCGCTTCGTCGGCCGTTGCGCACTCGACCCGACTGACGAGAGCATATCCCCTCGCCATAGATCCAGCCCTCACCATGTCGACTGAACTGAGGCAGCGCGCCCATTCCAGCTCGCTCAAAAGTAATTCGGTCCGCTCCACCGACGTCAAGTTCAAGCCCCCGACGCCCGGCCAGGACGAGTTCGCCTTTGAGCCCTGTGCCGCCACGGGCTCCTTCCTGCTCTACGCACAGCGCAATGTCATTCTATGCCTCCACCACGACACCCTCGCCGTAGAGAGGCGATTCGAACGACACCGCGAAGACGTCTCGTGGATATCCGTCGACACAATCAGCGAACGCGGGGCCGGCCGCTGCGTCGTATCCTACGATGCCGGATCAACCGCCATTGTCTGGGACCTGCTGACGGGCGAAGAGCTTGCTCGCTTTGCATCGTACGAACAAATCAGAGTGGCCGCCTGGATGCGCAATGGAAATGTTGCTTTTGGTACGTCGCGCCGCGGGTGCAGCTGCTGCAGGTACGTGCTAACTAGTCGACCAGGAAATGCCCAGGGCAACATCATCCTGTTCGAGCCAAACACGTCCGAACACCTTTCAGCCAGGACAATCTTCGACCCCATCACATCCCTTGCACCAGCCGCAGACTGCAGGACGTTTGCCATTGGGTACGTACTTACTTGGCCCTCTGCGCTCATCTCCGAGGCTCCGCCCCCGCTGACTGCTTCACAGGTACCTCAATGGCTCCATACTGATTGCAACATTGCAACCTTCCTTTACCATTCTGCATACTCTCACCACTCCCAGGGCCCCCTCTCCCGTTGCCGGCCTCGCGTGGCATGGCTCCTCATCCAAGCAAAAGTCGGAGATGCTGGCTGCCCAAACAGCAGATGGCGATCTCCGCGTGTGGAGCGTCCCCAAAGCGCCCCATGCAGGCGACAGCCCTTGCATCATTCGCGTTCTCAATCAAAAGGAACAGCGAGAGCCCGGCCCCTGTTGGTTCGCCTGGTCAAAGAATGGCCGCATTGTGCAGTACACCGAAGGGTATGTATCGCACTGACTGCTTCAAGCACCCATTGCCCTAACAACCGCCACTACAGCCAAACCTGCGCCTGGGATGTACGCACCAAAAGAGTATCCTATGAGACTGTACCGACCACTCACGACATTGCTGCCATCTGCAATTACGGCCCCACTGCCACTCTCTTCACCATTGGGCGCAACGCTAGCATCCAACAATACGACCTCAACCCTAGCAATGGCCCTGCAACAATGGTAGCCAACGTTCAGCATGCGCCTGCCAACACGCCTCCGTCGCCGCCCATTTCCCTGGACGAACAGAAGAAGCAAATGGAAACTCCATTAACTGCGCTTCCAGCAAAGTCACTACCGATAATACTCGCCGAATCCGAGAGCAGTGCGGATGAGGGCGCTGCTGTCATGTCGCCCCTGCAGAAGATTGCCCAAGAGATGGATCAGTTGGAAGAAGAGCGCCGCGACCGTGTCGGACCCCTAAGCCCAGTTTCAAGTCGAGGCTCCCAGAGCTCACGGTCGTCTGGAAGTGGCCGGGCTCCACGTTACCGCTACGACAGGCCTTCCCACAGCTCGCAACGTTCCACACGGTCCAAGAGCTCGGGTGGCTCTGGCACCATATTCTCATCGGGCACATCCTCCCTCGCTGGCACTTCTACTCGCGAGAGCGTTTCCATCCGGTCCTTGTCATCAGCTGCATCATCCTCCCGGTACGCGACGTCGGCCTTGCGCAAGGAAGTCCTCCGAAGCCCAGAGGAGACCCAGAAAAACCAACACATGGATCTCTTTCCCTTTACAAAAGCCAGACTTGGCGATGTGCCTTTCCGCCCTACCGACCTTGGGCCCGAGCGCACCCCAGATGACCTCCGACTCAACATGCTCAAGGTTGTCTTTGGTTGGGACAACGACATTGACGAGCTGGTGCAGGACGAACGTAAGATTCCCTTGACTTGTTGTAATCACCCGAGCTAACATTTCTAGTTGCACGTCATCCGCCCGGTTCAGCCGCTGCCGTCCTCCTTTCAAAATGGCTAGGCGACCTTGGTGCTGATCTCATGGCTTCCATGGTTGGCTCCGAGTCGATGACTTCGTCTGATTGGATGCTGTTGGCCTTGAGCAATATGGGGCATGGCTCACAGAAAAAGGTCGGCGAGGCCTTTGTCCAGCGTCTTCTCGAAAAGGGCGATATCCACCCCGCAGTCGCCATCTTCCTTGGCTTGGGCGAGTACAACGATGCCATCGAGGTTTACGTGTCTCGCAAGTACTACATGGAGGCCATCTTGCTCACGTGCTTGACGTTCCCGACAGACTGGCAAAGACAGTCCTTCCTGGTCCGAAGATGGGGTGAGTATGCTGTAGGACATGGCAAGGCAGAATTGGCAGTTCGATGCTTCTCGTGCATGGGCCTTGAAACCACTGAGCCCTGGTTCTCGCCCCGCGCTCAGGACGCGGTCTTCTCTGCGCAGAAACAAGCACTGCTTGGCTCACAGATGAGCCCGCCCCTGTCGCCACCCAGCGTCGGCAGCAGCAGAGTGGCGGCCAAGATGGCTTCGCTCAAGCTTGTCACAGACTTCACCCGTGGCCCTCAACCGCAGCAGATTGTCCGGGAAGAAGAGGAAAGGACTCCCATGAACGCAGGTGTTACGCCCATTGCAGAGTCCGCTATTAGCCCTGCTGTCGGCAACCATGCTTGGCTCGGACGCACGGCTCGTGATGCATCCAGGGAACCCTCTTCAGCACGCACTGCTACGCCAGGCGCCTACGGCAGAAAGCGTTACCCTTCTCGATCCGATACCGGCCGAGGCACAACAAACAACGAGGCTCTTGCCTCGCTGGCCATTCCTGATCGCGGTCAGCGTGGTGAGTCTCACCCTAGGACTGCCGTTGACAACATTGGTCGCGAAGCCGAGACGTTGCCGTTTTCCACATGCCGAGCCACGAGCGGATCCAAAGACTTTGTATTGTCCGCGACAACCTTTAACCCTGAAAAGTCTAGCGATCACCTGCCCTCACCAGCAGTAGGTGTCTTTGACGCTCTCAAGGAGAAAAGCAGCGACTCGCGTGCCAGCTCTAGGAGTAGAAACATCCAGGATCTTCATCTGGACATGAAGGAGACTGTGGTAGAGAACGGCCCGGAGACCGGCTACACGAACAGGCTCAGTCCGCCGTTGACGGGTGCAAGCATCAAGAGCGCAAAGGCACGCAGCATCGACCAGTACATCAGCAGTCTCGAGGAAGCCAACCACTATGCTCAGAACCGCTCCAACTCTAGGAACGAAGACCGGTCTGCTTCGCGCACGGCGCGCACACGTAGTCGCAACCGTGACGATTCACAGAGCCGTGGTCGCTCTGGTGTGCGCTACATCCACCCAGCCAAGCGGTCTCCCTCATCCCCTGTGCCCATGTCTCCAGAGGATGCCGGCATATACGCCTCCACCAAGAAAGAGGCTGGCACCAACACTGACGACTTTGATGACGAGAGGTTCTACAAGGTGGGCATTGTTTCTCCTGCAGTGACTGAATCAGTTGCCAGCACTCGCACTGCAAGAAGTCGAGTACGTCATGGAGCAAGCAAGACTAGGTCTTCATCCAAGACCGCTGGCCGCCGTACCGAGTCGCCCGAAGGAGGGGCACGCGCCCGCAGCAAAGGTGCCAGCCGAGCGTCAAGCCGTCGTCCGGCCGAGTATCGCGGCCGAAGCGCTACTCGCGGAGAGCATTCGCCTGTGTCGCCTCAGCCCATGCACCGAGAGGAATCCGAAGCAGTCCCTGACTATGAGCCTGCTCGCCCACGCCAGCGCAGCAGCAGTCGTCGCCGTCCAGAAGGCGCTGCAAGCCACCTTCGCGAGGCTTCTTCTGAACGCCGTGCTCCACGAGACCGATCCATGAGCCGAAAGCCTACACCAGTACTGAGAGAGTCTAGTCGCAATCGAGCCCACGCGCGAGATGCCTCTCCCGAGTCTTTGACTTCTGGACGCTCAGGCGCTTCACGCGCACGCCCTGGTGCGTTGTCAAAGAGGGCTATGGCTGCTCGAGAGCTAGAAGAACGCAGACTGTCGCTTGCTCGACGGCCTTCTGCTCCAGTCATTCCTCACCCTGGCGACCTCGCTTTCCGACCAGTTTCTCATGAGCGCTCCAACACTGACGATATACTCAGCTCAATGTCCATGTACAGAGAGCCTATCCAGAGGAGCCATACAGCAGATCCAGAGATGACCAAGCGCTACTCGCCTACCAACAGGGCCGGTGGTGCTGGCCCAACTTCTACGCCTTCGGTGCCCATCGGCCTACCAGCGAATCCTCGTGCCATGCGCCATCCCCGGTACATGACTGCCGATCCAAACCAGGAAGACGATATCCCTGCAGTACCAAGTATTCCAAACGACATGCAGCAAATGCATGGATCCTCGCGCGCAAAAGAAGACGATATCGGCCCCCTTCTTCCCGCAACCACTTTTGGACAGCCCATCTCACCACCACGCTCAATGTCGGCTCCTCCTCAAGACATGCAGCAGCCTTCTAGCTCCCACAACTCTCCCACCTACCCTATAATTGGCCGTCGCCCTTCTCTGGGCGGATCCCGTGGTCATTCTCGACAGAATACAATGCCCGAAGTTCTGCCCCAGACCAACTACAAGCGCCACAGCCCACCTCCGATTACCGCTAGCATTGCCGAGACGATTCACGAAAGCCAAGTCGTAGTCTTGGAACAGGATGACTCTGCACCTCCTCTCCTGTCCCAGCTCCAGCATCTGGCAACCCCCCCGCCTCCGCCTCCACCGCCGCTAAACATTGGAGGCAACGGCATTGGCATGATCAACATTGCTATCGAGGGCAATAGCCCGAGCGAGAAGCCTATGGAATTTTCACCCACTCATGCTTCTACTGCTAGCTCCCCACACAGTCATCGACGGGGGCGTGGTAGTGTGAGCGAGAACCTGGGCATGACCTTCAAGCGTGTCACTGAACGCATGCGCAGCACTAGTCGCGGCCCTCAACGCGCCAAGTCGCCAATTACTCGCGCTGAAGTCTCTCCGTATGAGAGCATGCCAGAGTTCTCATTCCCACGTGGACCAGCCACGCGGTCCCCCCCTGCGGACGGTGGTCACACTGATTCGTACATGGACCAGATTCCGCCGCCTCCGCCGCCGCCACCTCATCCTCAGCCCATGGAGCAGGTCATTCCTCCCTCGGACAATAGCCAGCCTTTCTACAGGCATCCCAAGGAGCTCCGCGCCAACATGCCTCCCAACACCCTGCAAGCCGGTGTGTACCAAGGTGGTGAAACCCCCATGATCTAAGCCTATTGGATCATGATGTGTTTACAAAATTCTTTTCCTTATGTTTGTTGTAACAATTGAAACGACCCTAACGACCTTGCATTCTGCACCATCATTTACTTGCAGTTACCTAGGCCTTCATTCTGCAACCGGAGGCCCTTGGGCATGTTTACCAAGCGTATAGCATTTGCCGTTCTTCCTCTTGTTGTCTTCTCATATTTCAGTATCATTTAGCGGGTTTTTATCTTTTCATGTTCATCTTTTGATTTTTTTCAAAGACGTGAATCTGAACTCTGGAAAGAACCCATACGCTTCGCGGCGGAAATGTCGATACCCTTTCATATAAAAAAACCTCTACTTTTTTCCTCATTTCTTCTTCTACCTACTTGTTTCTTCTTCTTTTGATTATCGCAGTGTACTAAGTTCTACCAAGACTTTGTTTCTTTGTGGGAAGCAGTATGTTGTGTGGTTTTCGATTCATGTTCTCTTTTGCAGGGAGGGGGGCTCATGCTTGCCTTGGCATTTTGTGATGGGGATTGTTGTCTTTCCATTCTTCAACAAACTCTTCTTTGAACTTGCGTTTTAGCATAATTTATTCTCTTCATATTCTTCAGCTATTAGCACTGCCATGTTTCTTTCTATCGTACTCCTGGTTTCTTGCATTCTGTGGGTAACGACTTGTGCATTCCTCGGCAGTATAGTGTTGTGAGGCAGGAGGCAAAAGGGTTGGTTATCAGAGTCAAGAGAGATGGTGGGAGGAGTACATAGCAGAGTCCATTGTGCTTTTGCTTTGGCAAAGATTGAATGCAATAGGTTTACTTTGTGTACAGCTTTGTGGTTACTTGTTATCTTGGTTGTGAGACTCTCTCTCTTCTCGGTATGGGTATGTCGTCTCGTCTTATACACTCGATGGTCTATCCTATCCAATGGAGTCAGGTGAGCCTTGGACATCAGCGCCACACACAGATTGACGTTGGAACCACAGCTATCAGGTACGTCGAAGCAGTAAACTATTTTGATACTAAAATCACCCGAATATATAAGTTTCAACAAAAAAAAGAACAAATGGAGAAGACACCAGGCTGAGATAGGATCGACTCTTCTTCAAGACCATGTAACAACCGTCGTCGGCGGGCCCAGCTTAAAGCTATCCTTTGGCTTAGCAGCAGCCTCTTCGCGCTTTGCCTTCTTACCCCAAGTAATCACCGTGTTGGGCTTGCCAAGCTGGATATCATCCTTTGGATCGTTGGAAGCAGCTTCTCTCTTCTTTCCCCATGTGATGTCCGTGCTGGGCTTGCCTATGACAATCGTATCGGGATTGGTGGTGGTGTCACGCTTCTTGTCCTTGGACCAGATGATTCCGCTGCTTGGAGGACCTATTTGGATGTCATCGGGGTTGGGTTTGTCGCCGTCGCGCTTGCCCCACGTGATTATCGTCGTGGGCTTGCCGACATCAATCGTGTCGGCTGGGTTGGTGATGGTCTCGAGGAGCAACGTTAGTTTGCGTTGACGAGCAACAGCCAAGAAGGCGGTATGCTTGGGGTGAGCTTACGTACCTCGGAGGATGGAACGGGTGCGGCGCCACTGATGGCTACCAGCACGCCTGCCGTCAGGACGGATACTAGTCTGTACTGCATCTTCCTTGCTTGGATGATCGTCTTCTCTCGGGGTTGTTTGCTGATGTCAGATAATAGGAAACCAGATGGCTAAGACCCTCGTTCGTACGAAGAGGAAGAGTATAAATCAGTGTCTTACACCTGCTTTATTGCCTATATTCTGGGGAAGTAGGCTCGAGGGATCGACATGGCAACGTCGGCATGTAGTGTAATTTATACACATGATTTGAACCAAACTTCAGACCCCTTTTATTTTGTTTGGCGCGCACCTTTGTCTTGCCCTCATGTGGCAAGTAAGTGACTGGCTGGTCGAGGCCGTAGATACGGGGGGGCTGCAATCTGGGTAAAGTACAGGGTTTTCCGTGTCTGGGATAGCGCCACAGCAAGACTGGGGGGTCACCTCTTCAGCCAGATCTTGCCAGCTGCGCATGTTGGGCATGAAGGGTCCGGTGATGCATGAGGGAGAGATGCAGTGTTCCAGAAGAAGTTACCAGCGCGTGTGCTGGTAGAGGGTTCCCCAGTCAAAAGTCCTTGGCTTAACCATGTCGCAAAATAGCGCATACATGTTGATTGTTCGAAGCGGAGAGAGTCTCTTCTGAATTCTTACCACTGTAGAAGGGTGTTCTAGCAATCCACACAATCTTAGGGTCTTCTTGTGTTGTCGTTTTCGCAAAGCCTACCAGGGAATGCCGTAGAACCGAGTACACCCGAATCATCCGTAGAAGGTCTGGTGTAACGCCATTAACTTGAGTGACACGACATCTCCCAAGGATTCAGCTGAGTGCTAGCCCGACCACACCCTCATCTGCATATTCGGTACCAAGCGACTTTGCAGCAGGCTAGCCTTTGCAAACCGACTTGGATCATGCACAACGGGGGATGGATGCTGTCGGAAATCTGCCATTGGGCCATAGTGAAGAACGATCAATCTTCTTCCTATATCACAAGGGCGTGTTAGCCCTTGGAAGCTTTCGTGTTGATTGGTATCCGCGTCGTGACTAGAAACATTTAAATTTGGGTAATACATCTCTCGGAAGAGATCCCGATCCTGGCGAATCCGGAAACAGAGAGGAAACATGCGTTGCAAGTCTAAAATTTTAGCGTATTGAATACAAGGATAGCTCGACTGATCAAATGTGGTTCATACTCGCAAGCTGCATCCTGATCTGCAGGGAAACAAGACCAAGAGGTCTGGACCCGAACATGGTCACGAAACCTGGGGAAAGAAATAGACGTGTCGAATCAGTCTCGTGAGCGGTGCGAATCGGCTAAGATCAAACATGCTGGTCGCCGCTGGCTTGGCTGATGGGATTTGCTGGGTGCGTTCGTCTATCTTTGTGGCTATTTAAATCAAAACTGCGCTTTCTAGCTAAGCGAGCACCTGGCATCAGGTGTGAGTGGAGCTATGCACGCAAAAGAGGCGTGACCTGACCCGAAATACGGAATGTCCTTGATTGAGCTTTGATTAATCAATGTATAGTACAGTGTTGAATAGAAACCACAAATGCATTATCCGTAGCAAAGCATATAAAGCATGCGTAATAACTCTATCACTCAATACTATTGATTCTAGAAATTAGATACCTGCTTCTAGCACTTGAATTCATATCGCACGTATAAATACAATATTAAAGCCTCTAGTGTTTCTCTTTATTCCTTTCTGAATTCTATATAACCTTGATTTGTTATACAGAAGAGAGATGAAGTAGTTACTCACTATTTATACAGGAGCAGCGTACGACTAAGGCTGCACAAATTGTCTTTTTCTAGCTTTTACTAGCTATAGTTACTTTAGCGCCTTTGTATACAAATAAGCTGTAGTCTAAGCCTTGAGCCTAAATTAGCCTAATAAGCCAGCGTTTGCATTTCAGCCATGATAATTGACTATCTTGGTTATTGGTTACTTTTACGAAGTGGGGATACCTTACTTGCCTAGGAACTACTTTATGTAGCCCCAGTAGATATGAATTCGTATGTTCATAGGTATTGCAAAGTTGTCTAAATAAAAAGAATATGCTACTACAACAAGTGGAGCTGTTACTATAGAACCCTTGGTTATCAAGAGTTTAGCGGCTAATACTAACTGTGTTTTGAACTTCACCATTGTTTCACAGGTTCTATTACTAGAGGGTAGAGCAGGTGTAAGAGTAGTGTGCAATTACCTTAACATAGCAAGAAGAAGCTTATAAAGCATTAAAGTTCCCCCCCAAGGTAGTACAGTATTGCATAGTACATTGCCACTTATGATTTCTCCGTCCTGTCAACGCTAAACATGCGAATGTTACCTTGAAGAACAGTGGGTTCATTGACTAAAAATGGTTTAGTGGACTATGCCATTAGAATTCATTAGTCCAATAAATGCGTCTAGGAATACTGAAGAAAAGATACAAGGGATTGCCATAGGCACTTTCCTGTAGCAAAGACCGAGCATGTTGGACAATCGTCTGGTGGGTGGCGAAGACGCAGAGGCGAGAAGATAAATTGTGATGCATCACGGATAATCTGGATCGATGATTGGGAACGAGGCGGTGCTTGGCAAAGGAATGGCCGGGCGATACTTGAAGTTTGGAACGTGATGAATTGGACTTGGCTCGCCACACGCTTCAGCGATGGGCAAACATTGCCAGTGTGGCAAGCAGACGCCAGTATGTGTTTGCGTTTGTGGACTGACATTGCAAGGAGTACTATTCGACAACAACGGTCAGAAGGTGGACAGAATTGAGAAGAGTGGCATTTCCAGAGATGGCATCATTACGTATACTGCGAGAGCATTCTTTCTTTTTGCTATACAACGCCAACGCAATGCTCCAATATGCGCAATCATTTCAGAATACACAGTCGTAGAGAGCCGTGATTACTTCATGGCTCTGGATCCTTTGGCCTCTCCCCAAACTCGTGCTCGAGCCAAGATGCCCATACTTCTTTTGTGTTGGCCGTGTTGTGCTCAATATCAGCGTACACATCAAACTCATGTTGCGAGACGGTTGCGTCATCCGCATCCACTACGTCCGACGTAGCCTCTGGTTCAGAGGATTTGGCATCTTTGATGTATTCCGACACAGCAATCATGACGTTGTCCGCAGCCCAAGCCGGGGCTGTGTATGTCTGCTTGTGCTTTGCTACGCTCGCTGTCCTTGTAGCTGCGTCAATGATGGCCTTGCGATCGAAATCTCCTTTGGATAGGTCGTTTAAGATCTGATTGAAGGCGACAGTGTTTTCGGTAATGGAACATAGGCTGAGCATATGAGTGTATGCTTTTGCCATGTCATAGTGCTTCACTCGGGATTTGATACTGTTAATCTCGCCCCACACGTATACGCCACCTTCCCAATCGGCACGGCGAACACAACTTCCCAACAACCTGGTAAGCCCTTTCAGGTCGAGGCCCCAGCCATCGGCCTTCATCTCGTAATAAATATCCAGAGCTCGATCGAAGCCAGCAAATCTCATGACACCACCAATCAATGCGCTGAACACCATAGGCGTAGGATAGACCTTTTGAAAGATTTTTCCCGGCTGGATGCGCACAAGCCGATCTTGACCAGCTTCATTGATATTGATGTCGGGATGGGCGAGCATAAGCGCATCGTCCAAGCCCCTCATTCTGGCCACGAAGCGTGAAAAGCTGCTAGCTCTTGTTTGTCCTCCCCATGCATAGTGTTCAAGAATCTCGCGACAGGTGATCTCGTTGGGCCGTATCTTGTTGGCGTAGAATGCAGCTATGACGCGATCAACTAGCTCTCGGCGGCGCCAACGTCTGAAACCAACCAGGAGAGTGTTGAATGTTTGCAAATCCGGGGGAGCAGAGGAAATAAGAAGGTTGTGGCATATTTTTGCTACCGCGAGGGCGGCGACCTTGTCATTGCCACGAGGTGTTTCGTGAAGTAAAGTTCCGATGCCTTCATTCAACTGCTTTGTAATACTGTAGAAGTCGCCATCAGCGTCCTGGCGATAATTCGGAATGGCGGTATGGTTGGTATGCATTCGAGCAGCTGCAATCTCTTCGGCCGAGCTGTCTACGCGAGTCTTATGAACATGCTCGAGAGCCTCTACAATCTTCAAGTGTGCGTTTTTGCGTTGATCTTGGTCCATGCGCACAACTTCTAAAATCTGGGGTGCTAGCTTTCCCAGCTCGTGACGTGCGGTTTTCAAAAAGCGAGCCACACTCGCTCGATGCAACAGTTCGTGGACGAGAAGCCCAGTCGCAATCTCCTGCATTGCCATCTTCTTCCAGGTATGGCGTCTGCGCATGGCCTTGAGGCGCAATGCGTCGGGCGCCCACAACGACTGAGGGGGCAGATTGTAGCGCACCAGATCTGGGCCCGTATTCGCTGGCCACTCGAGCAGCTGGGCGCCAGGAAATCTCGAATCAAAACGCAGGTCGTCCCAATTCATTTCGCCATAGTCGCGAATCTGCGACTCAACCTCGAGTGCCTGCAAGACCGGGTCATCCACAAGGTCCATGCCGACGATTCGCTGCAGTGCTTGCCAGTCGAAGTCTGGGGGGAGGTCGTCAAAGGACAAGGCGGCCGGGTGCGCGACTTCTGGCTCCTTGCCTGCTTGGACTGGAGCCTGGCCATTCTCGCTGTCGTCCAGGCTGGAGAAGGCCCGTTCCCATTGCCTGTTCCTGGCGGCTTTTGCCTTTGCGTCAATGGCCAGGCCCGCCGCGAAAACGGTCGTGTAGGCAAACGTCGACGTCGGCGTGCCCAATGCCCAGGGAGCGCGCAGAGCGCATCGGCGGCCGGTGCGGCTGAGCGTGGCCGCAGGGGAGGAGCACGATATGCATCTGCAGGTACCCGGGGTCGGTCGTGCCCGGGACCAGATTGCCAGCATCGCTAGCGGGGCATGCTGCGCGAGACGTGGAGGGGCGACGGGAGGCCGAGTCGCGGGCGGGCGGGCGAGACGACGCAGCGTGGCGGGCGCAATGGTGCGATGGATGGTGGCTGATGGTGGGGGGAAAAGTGGCCGGTCAGGTCAGGGCAAGATTGGTGTTGGTGTTGGTGTGAAGTCTTGGCGCGCATTGCACGTGCACGCACCCCCGCGGTGGAGCGCGCGGCCAATCGGCGTTACCTTTTGCCGACAAGTTTCCAAAGCTGCGTGCACATGCGCTGCTGCCATGGCCCTCCTCCACGCCGCCCTCGCGCACTCCCACACCCCCCACGACTCTGGAGCCCCGTTAGCAAGACCATATCCCGAGTCGCAAGCATGGCCGTATGCAACTCCCGCTTTTCTGCGTCCACGTGATGCACTGACACCCCCGCAGGCAGTCGCGCCTTTCAACCCCCGACCGCTCCTCCAGAGCTTGTACGTCGCGCCTCTCTCGTGCCGCCGCGTTGCAGCCGCTCGCGACCCCGACTGACGCCTCGCAGGGTCGACAAGGACATCGTCGTTCGCCTCAAGTGGGGCGAGACCGAGTACAAGGGCAGGCTCGTCTCGGTCGATCTGTACATGAACATCCAGCTCTCCAACACCGAGGAATTCGTAAACGGCGTCAGCTCGGGCACGCTCGGGCAGGTGCTGATACGGTGCAACAACGTGCTCTGGATCGGCAAGGCCGACGAGGTGGAGCCCAAGACTGCCAAGGACACGGCAATGAGCGGCTGAGGCCTCTCAGCCAACAGCCACACGATGCGTAGCACGGATGCAATTTGCAAAAGAAGCGGCCGCTCGCACAAGAGCGCGCTGACGCTGGGCGCGCGGGCTGGCGATTCATGGGCGCGCAGTACCGAGCCAGCAGTGCGCTCTGAGCAGCATTGAAACTGAAGACACCACGGCGTTAGCCGGCGTAGGCATGAGATAGGAAACTCGGCGAGCCAAGGGCTTCCAACACGAAGCTTCTCCAATCCACCATGATCCAATTCATTCCAAGCTCCTCCAATCCACCATGAGCCAAGTCATTCCAGGCTACTCTATCTCCTCTATCATCGTCTTCTTCTTCTTTTCTTCCTTCTTCCCCGCGCGGGGCTGTATGTCAAGCCCTCTGAGATTGCCCTCCAGCCCAAGATCGCGACCCAGCTTCAACCCCTCTTCCCTGACCCTGTACAACTCCTTGACTCTCAATGTCTCCAGCCCCTCTACGACACTCGCTGCGTGATATCTCACAAGCTCGTCTGCGTCCTCATCTCTGACCCACCTGATTACTCTTTCTACTTCTTCCTGCTGCTTCAAGTTTAGAGAAACTGCACTCCCCCCCTGTCCACGCTCGTTTGCCGCGTCAACACCGCGCAGCAATCCCATCACGACAAGAGCAGCCGCACGCCGCAGTAAAGCCTTTGTCTCTTCTCTCTCCATGCAGAGTACCAAAAGTACCATCTGCAGCGATGCGTCGATCCAAGGCTGCTGTACCATGTCTAGCCGGTGCTCGACGAGCGTCGATAAAATACTCAGAGCAGAAGCGCGGATCCTAACATCCTCCTCAATGCCCGTGTCCTCCCAGCCACCCACAATCTTTTGCAATGCAGTATAATCTGCCTGCTCCTGCGCATCAGCACCATCCGGCTCCAAGACATTGGGTATCGGGCCACCCCAAGCTGCTTCACCTTCTTCCTTCAATTTCCGCTCCTTGTCCGCGACCTCACTCCGCATCGAGAGCGTCTGTGCGCGTTGGCCTCGTCGACTGGATAGCAAAAGACAAGCCTCGGTGATTTGCGTTACACATCTATACTTCATCCCGGCACTTTCATCCAAGTTCCAGAAGTCATTGTCGCCCGCAAATGTATTCAGCACTTCTCCGACCCGCAGCCTACAGTCTAACGCATTCCTCAGCTCTCTTTCTTTTTCCTCAGTCTGCTTTCTCCTAGCTAGTTTCAAAGAACGCTCGTCCATGTCTACGAATGCGTCGACCACAATCGCCACAACAGGCTTTGGTGCCCGGACTGCTAGCGTGACAAGAACAGGTATTGCGGCCAAGTGCACATACGACTCAGCGTCGGCCAAGGGCGACGAAAGGAGCATGTGCGCAAGGGATGGTATATCAATGGCGGTGAACGCAACCGGGTTTCTAAGCATTGAGTGTATAGTGTTCAAAGCCCAGGTACGGTTAGGAGGTTCTGGTGACTGTAGTTCCGTGAGACAGGTACTCAGTGTAGCGCGGTGTTCGGCCAGGGGATCGGCTGTTGCCTTGGTCCCAAGACCGGTTTGAGGAGAAGGAGAGTTGACCGCAGGGGTGATGAGGTGTACAAGGGCAGTGGCAGAGTTGCTAATCACAGGCGGTATGGGTGATTTTGCTTGGGCCAGAGGTTGCGAGAGGTACGCCAATGAGGGCAAAAGCGCATGTAACATTTCCGTGACCGAGGGTGTCTTCTTGAAATCGGGTGACGCTATTAGAGTGTTCAAGATGCTCAGTGCAAACGACACCAGATCCTCATTCACAGCGGCTTCCTCGTCATTCTCTCCTTCTGCACCTTGCTTCTGCACAATATTCCCAAGCATAGCGCGTTTAGAGCTGCGTGCCCTTTTCGAGAACGTCTTGTGCCCACTCACAAAATTTTGAATCAACTGTGACATGAGCTCGGTGATGTGATGTGGACTTCTTGCAAAATGCTCTTGAAAATGTTTTGCCATAGACTCGGAGAGCTTTGCATCAGCCAGTGCTGACAGAGGGTCACCCGTAATATCTCCATCTGTCAGGGAATTCCGTGCAGGCGTTGCTGGCGCTAGCCATCTCTTCGTTGCACTGAGAAAGACGGACCCAGCAACGTCATCGGGGATCCCGGCTTCTGAAAAGAGAGACACCAGCAGGTTGACGCGGTCGTCCAACTTGCCAATTAGTCCGAGGATACCCTCTACACTTTCCATATTCTCGGGCCTTTCTTTGGTTCTACGTCGTATCGCAACTCCACCCTCGGAGCCAGGTCCAAAAGTCCACGTAACTTCTCCATCCCAGAAGAGGTTCTGAGCAATGTTATCCATTTGCTTTGCATCACAGGCTATCTCCATGTAGCGTGATATGATTGCTTTTGGCAGCACGGTCCACTCTTTGTCCAAAGAAGGTCTGATCTTGGCATAATTGACTAGAGCCCACAGCGAAAGCAGGAGAGGGCTGACAAGGCGTTTGATAAGGCCGGCATGAGAATATGAAGACGTGATGATTTTGAGGCGTCGAAGAGCAGTCTTGAGGTCTCCCTCTTTTACTATCATGTCCATGCTCCCTCCGCCGCATGACGGCGAACTTGGCATCTTCCTTGGGAAAATTGCATGCAACAAAGGCTCCACAAAGATCTCCCACCCTACGGTACCAGGTGCGCCCGTTGTCTTCTTACTTAGTATTCCACCCGCAATGATGTGACCTGCCGCACGACTAAGCTCTTTGCCCTCGCAATCATCAAGGAGATGATGCAATTGAGGAGCAATTCGTCTTATCCAATCGTCTTGGGCGACACCGCTCGGAGGGAGTACAAGCAACTTGGACGCCTGTGTAATAGCCTCTAGCGGAATGGGAATTTGAGATTGCGGCCCTGATGCGCCCTCAGGGACATGTGAGTTCTTGGATAAATAGGAGAGTGCAAGGAACTCGATTGTGTGTCGAACGCCCTGACTGCGAAGCGGGACCATGGATAGTTCCGAGGAGATGATGGGTTTGAGCCATTCTGGTAGAGACTGTTGCAGGAATGTTGTCAGTATCGGAAGGAGGCGGGATTTTGGAATCTCGTTCATGATCTTCTTGTAGATGGCCGAGAACTTTGATCTCGCGTTTTCCGATGAATCGGGTGAAAACGATAGCTCAGCAATCGCAGATATGATATCTGGGAGTATTCTCTGAGAGAGCAGCGGCTGTAGGCCGGAGCCCCTTTGCTCTAATATAGGCAGAATTGCTTCCATGACCCGGGCCAGCGAGTCCAGATCGCGGTTTGGTGGTGTAAAAACAACGGCAGTTAAAACCGACCGTGGGCGTTGGCTAAAGGCTACGCCCGGAGACAATCTTGGTAGGATGGCAAGCATGGTGGTTAAATCCAGAAGGCCGTAGACGACTCCAGCAAGAGAAGCGTCGTAAGGAGCGTTTGGGTCTGCGACTAGATCGGCAGCATTGATGGCTTGGAGGTGAGAAAGGGCTTGCTCGACAAGTGTCGTGGTGGGCACGTCGCCGGTGTATTTGCGGTTCTTATCCGCAAAAGGGCCGACAAAGTTGGCCGCCGCATCTACTGTGTCTTCGACGGCCCCCATGGTAGATGGTCTGGTTCCGGCCCTGCGAGCGGTTGTGTTATACTAGCGCTCCTTGCTGGCGGCGACAAATTCGTCCTCGTTTGAATGCGGCTGCTCAGAATTGGAGCCTCTACGAGGAGAACAGGTCGAGATTGCGGGCGGCCAAGCAGATAATATGAAATCCCATTTGCCACTTTCACTGGTGTCGGATGGAAAGTTCGTGAGCAGATGGCAGAAGCGACGGAAGTGATTAGTCAGAGAAGCAAGCGCGTCTGCACGTGCTGGCGCCGCTATGACGCGCAAGTGATCCAAATCTCTTGGCATTAGCGACGCGTCGTTCTCCTGTGTTCAGCGGGGCAAGACTCCAACATCCATCTCAACAGCCCCATCATTACACGGCGTCTACCTCCAATCAAACGCCACCTCGCTTTACTGCAGCTCGACCGGACTCAGCACCTTCCACGCGTCCCTGATCAGATCCGACTATATCAGTGCCAACGGGGCGGTCGCGTAAAGCCCTCCTTTGGAACCATTTCTTCTCTCACTTGCTTGCAAGTATCACGCATGTCACTCTCCCCATAGTTACCGATGTCTGTCTTCCACTTGGAATGCGGTTCTTCCGTGCCTCACTTACTTGCACGACCGACACCGACCCGAGCCTCTTGGTATGGCCTCAATGGGACGTCTGCATGTCGACTCGCGCCCCTCGGTGGTGACACTGGGGTTGTGGGTGAGGAGGACAGGCTCGGATCTTAACCCTAATCATCTTTCGGTATTCGTTGCGCTTTACGCCCCACGAATAGTTTCGCGGTCATGTCGCCGACCTTCCTATTAACCCGCGTAGGGCAACTCACACCTGTGGACTGCCTGGTTCGGTGCCAAAGGGAGACTCGAGGTACAGGAGCGGAAGCTCGAAATGAGATGACATGTGCCAGTTGGTTTTAAAGTTCTCAAATGAGGACCACGTCGGCATCTCATCTGTGCAACAGACTCTGGTCACAAGAGATAGCTTCACGATGAGAACGACCATTGCAAGAGACGAGAGGTGATGAGAGGCGCCGGTCACCTCGGCCGAGGATCGACTTTGGGCTCTTGCATTCCGCTAGCACGCAGGCTGTTCGTTTCTAGGATTCACACGGGAGTTGCAACGCCAGGCGCCAATCATGACCACGTCCCCATCAAGTATCAGGCACTCAGCAAATGAACAGAAGAAGAGCGCGGTGATGACTTGGGTCGAGCCTGACATGCGGATGCATCAACCTGTTTTGGCCCCGGCTGGCGCGAGATCCACTCGTCGGAAAGGCGAAAGCCCAGCGAGGTCTCAATGCGTCTCAGGTCGGTACTATCATCAATGGCGAGCCGTCACGCTCCGGATCTGAAGTTTTGAAGCTTGTGTCAAAAGAACGGATGGGTACACGTGTGTTGGGCTAGGTTCGCAGCGTTTGCACTGTGCGATGAATGGACTCGAGCTAGCCGGCGATGGCTAGCGATGAAGACGCTCGTGCACCTCTCCTACAAGGACTACCATCCTGCTCATCTCTACACACTCCTACACTGTCTACATCATCTCGAAGCCTGTGTCATGATTTTCATCGCCCGACACTAGTCGCCTTGTGGCGATATCTGACCAGTCGCGTTAATCGTCAGCATGCACGTTCAGCGGGCTGTATATAGACGAGCGTCTACCCCTTCGATCGAGGAGTCATTTGGCTCCTGCGATTGCCCATGCGGTTTTTGAGGATGTCCTTTGTCCGTATCAGAATGCCCTCCGTCACCATGTGTATGGAAGCGGAGCCGACACAAAGACTAGTCTCTGAGAGTCGTGTGATCACATCCAGAGAGAAGCTTCCTGGCTGGCCAACCAGCGAAGATGGATCCACAAGAAGGAACTTACGCGACTGTTGTGTTTTTATGATTAGGATCTCATCCCCGACAAATTTTGGAGCAGGAGAAGGATGGTCTCGATGCAGCAAAGCGCAGTTGACGGTATCTGGAGTTGTGACCACGGCTTCTTTGGAAGCGCCATGACGTCTGCGAGCGTGGTGTGCTTGGGTGTATCGACCTGCATTCTGTGGCGTGGTTATCTTCAGAACGACCTAGTAAAAGAAATGGTAGACAAGCGGCAACAAATCGGCGACATGATGGGAACCACAACGCATCACTTCTCAAATCAAGCTTTGGAGACGGGACCTCTCTAGAGTGAGGCTCAGGGTCTAGACCTGTCTGTCTTCAGCGTTTGGAGGAGCCTTGCGGGCCTCACTGTGTTCCACCGACTCTGCCCCGCAGTCATCACGCTATTCTTCTCTACAGTGTCTTCTTGGCCACAACATGGGGTACAGCGACCGAACATTGACCAAAGCCATGCTCAACGGTATCATTGGTGTGGAAATGGAAGTGCGTCATGAGGGGCTGTTGTGGCGGTTCATATGGCCGTCTTTCGGGACGGCCACTCTTTTTTTTCATATAAGTGCACCGTTTTGGGGGAATAAATGCTACGCTAACCAACGCAGGTCCAGGAATATGCTTCTCCGTGTTCTGCACCTCGTATTCGTGTTGAGGCCCACAGCGGGTATACCCAGTCCGCGTGAGCCTGCAGCAGCCAAGCGAGCCAGCACACATTCAGCCGATACAACAAGACCGCGGATGCGAGGTACCAAGACATATAGACATCTCACGTGAGCCTCGATATCACCTTACTTTCTTTGCAGCATTCGAGCATCTAGATCTGCCTGCAAACTTGTCGATTCTTGGTCGTTGGCTACTGCCATAAAGATAAAGTGGCTTTCTCGGACCACTATCGCTCAGGCTTGGATTCTCTACAAACGGCACCGAAGCCGAGCACACTAAATTCTGTTTCGTCAAAAGATGTGGGCCCGCCAATAGAAGATATGACAGTTGAGTGAATCAGGCGGTGGGCTGAATACTTGTCTGCTCAACCATGGGGCCATTCTCTGGTATTGGAAGCTATGCACTTTACATGTAGCCTCCATTCAATAAATTGCTGCAGACTTTGGCTTTCGGAATCGTCACGACTGCATTAAACAGAGTAGGCTAGCCTTGCATACCGTGGGCCAAACCAAGTCATCAACCTTGCGCCGGTGCAGCTTGTCTTCAGTTTCCCATACGGTTGAGCGCCTACTTGACGTGTCACTCACACCCCACTAACCGGAAGGCATGAGCTATTTACGGCGAAGTTCTTCTGACGTCACATAGGCCACAACGGCCTACGAATCCTTATAAAACCCATACTGCGGTACTGCATGTTCGAAAACAGACTCAAGGGTGTTGTCTTTGTTTAGATCGAGATGTTACGTCGTACACTTTACACCTACTGCGCCATCTTGGTGCCTCGTTTCATTAGTGCCGATACCTGTTCGACAATTGCAAACCTCGGATACATCGAAGTCACACATTCTCTCGACTTAGCTTACATCGAAGAACAAACCCAATACTGGTCGACGTCATGCTCTGCTCTTTTGCCGTCATGCATCATCTTCCCAAAGACGACAGACGAGCTGTCAGCAGTGATGCAAATCCTTGCTAATACACCCGAGCACTTTGCCGTCAAATCTGGGGGACACAACCCAAACAATGGCTGGAGCAGTGTTGCTGGCGGACCGCTCATTGCTATGGACCGTTTCGACCAGGCCAATCTAAACAGCAGCACAGGAATTATCGATGTCGGCCCCGGGAATCGATTGGACAGCATTTCTGCTAAATTGCAGGGCACTGGGTGGACGTTTGTTGGTGGACGTATTGGTAACACTGGAGTTGGCGGCCTGGTCCTCGGTGGAGGACTTAGCTACATGTCAACCCAGTATGGATGGTCTGCTTCAAGTGTGCTCGAGTACGAAATGGTGTTTGCCAATGGCACAATTGGCTATGTTAGAAAAGACAACCACCCGGAACTTTTCGTCGCACTTAAAGGAGGCGGCAACAACTTCGGGATCGTCACAAATTATAAACTGCAAGGACGTCACCAGGTTGATGTCTAGGGCGGTAATCTTGTGTACTTGCGCACTACCAAAAAGGATGCCCAACTGCTACAGGCTGTGCGAGATTGGACCGAGTACAACGAAGATGACAAGGCGGCCGTCATTGTCACTGCCGAACGAACAAATATCAACATTGTGGATTCTTGGATCATATTCCTGTTCTATGACGGCCCGGAACCTCCGACAGGTCTCTTCAAGAATTTCACCGATGTCAACCCTGTCCTAGACACGACGCGCACACGGACCTATGCGGACTTGATGGCGTCGAGCAACTGGGTTGTAATTAAGGGGAACGTTGTTGACATCGCCACCGAGACGATCCCGCTTCCCTCTAATGCCAATGCCGTCGAGGTCATGGAAGGCCTACATAGCCACTGGCGTGACATGTCTGGAACCACACTTCTTGTGCCTGGCATAGTCGCATCCATTGCTTGGCAGCCTTTTCCGAAAAGAATTGCACAAAAGGCTCGCGAGCTCGGTCCTGACCTCATTGATGCTGACGCCAACGTTGACAGAATAATCATCGAAATGAATTACGCCTTCACCCCCAAGAGTCTGTACGACAAGATGGCCGACACCATGGAAGCAACTTATACCGGAATTCGTAATAGGGTGCTGGCATGGCAAGCAGAAAACAAGCTCCCGCAATCATATTTCCCTATCTTTATGAACTACGGATTCTATCGCCAGGACTATTTTGGGAGGCTGAAGCCCGAGAGTCGTGCGCTTGCGAAAAGGGTTGCAGACACCGTCGATCCGACGGGCCTTTTCCGCACACGAACTGGAGGCTGGAAGCCTTGACGAAGGGATGGATCAAATGTCATCTTGATGTAGCATGCCGGGATCTTTTCAAAGCAAGAAGGCGGCCTGTCCAAATAGAACGTCGGAGTGCTGCACTTACAATAAAGTGCCCTAGCTTACCGCAAAAGGCCCAGGAATATCAGATATTGGATATCGTTCACAAGAATCAAATAAACTACATTAGGATACGCGCTGAGCATACTGGGTAGACTTGTCAGTCTCTAACTAAGACTTGCATCAAATGAACTTGGGTTTCTCACTCCGATCGCTCTATCATTGCGCATGCAATGACATGTCTCTATACAGTATAGAGTAGGAACTGCGCACAACGCCTGGCACTGGTGGCAGCTCACCTGATGCACGAATATTTTTCATCTCCACAACAGCCCTACCCCGACTTTCTACCCTATCTTCTGTATACATTGACTCGTCCCAGTCAACCTCTCCCTGGAATGTATTTCGTCGTCGCCTACAGCAACAGCTGATGTTGTCAAAGTACATGCCTGCTACAGGCAGCTGAAGCCCAGCGGCGAACAACCCGGCCATGGCAATGCCGGTCCATACCATCCCAAAGTAAGAAGATGGGTCTTGCGTTTTAAGGATCAGAACTACGACAACAGTATTTGGCAAAGCCGAGAGACCTGTGTGAAACATGTCAGTTGACAAAGTCATCATTGTCAAACGCAGATCTTACCATGAATCAAATAACCAAGACCGGATATGGCTTCCACAGTCAGCTTGTGGTCAGCAAACTGGCTTGCGTGTCTACGCCTCAATTTCCTCGACACCAACACCAGCCCACTGATAGTCATTAAGCTATCAGATAGGCTCGCCATTGCAATGGCAAAGTAAATGGCATGGTCGCTAACAATAACAGAGGTCGATCCCACCACCAACAGCCAGACTATGAAGAAAATATGGCCAGTCCACCGCCGAACAATGGACGGTGGTGCCAGCACTCGGATGGCAATGAGGAATTCGATTCCAACATGTTGCGAGAAGAATATCAGCTTGCTGGAATTGAGTTCCAGATCCGACATGAAGTGAATAGTGAGTAGTAAGAAGGTAACTGCGAAAGTCACAGACAAGTAGTGGAGGTCCATCATGCGCTTCATTGAAAAGCCGACGAGACCAGAATAGATACCCCAGAAGAGCAGCTGGAGGAAAAGTCCTTGGAAAGATATCACAAAGGCAGGCTCATACAGGGCGAGTGGGCCTCCTTTGAGCAGGTGTTTGTTCTGTGTCTGCAGTAATGGCGGAAAAAGTCGATGATATTCCGGTCCAGTCCTGTCAATGTCTGTGGGGCGAGAATGCTTAGTACTACGCAAAGAATTGAGATTACTGGTTGCATTTGCTTACGATTGAAAGTCGAAATCGCATTCCCCATCTTGTAGTAGAACAGCGAATTGATTGAGAAGCCAATCGAAGTCGTCCAGAGCAGTCGGCAGTCCTATGCAAGGTGCGAAGACCGCTGTTTGCCTCCTGTAAAAAACGAGCAGAGCAGATACGGCAGAATCAAGGGTAGTTAGTGCGCACTTAAATTCAATAAAGCGCTGATCAAGGAGTCTCACGTCATCAAATTTTACAGCTGGAACTTTGCTGTGACGACGACCAGCGAGTAAGCAAGCAGGGAGAAGTCGCGTCGGACATGGGCATGAGATCTGTTTATATCGACTGTGGGCCTTTTCAACACACGGTGTGTTGTCTTCAGGGTTCAATAGATGGATTTGACATATGTAAACATTGCCATCGTTCGTGTAATGTGGTGTATGTTCGCGAAGACTGAACAGGTTGATGTCCGATAGCTTGCTCCGGGATAGAGAAATGTATGTATTCATTTGCTAGATTACAAAGCGGCTATGGTGACATCTGCCTGCCGATGTCCACATCCGCACGGATCCGGTCATACCCGTATAGATCCAACCACACCCCTTTACTGATGGATAGAGTTGAAGCCATCGTGCCCACTTCTCCATGGCGTGACACTGCATGGCAGCGATACGAAGTCTGCTCCTATACAGCGGTGGTGACTCTGCCAATTGTAACGCCATCGCATACGACAGTTTATGCGACCCGACTGAAGAAAATGCGCTGTTCCAACTAGCCAACTAGCCAATGAGGTATCTGGAACGACTTCCTCGTTCACTCTATCAGATTACTTAACAAGCTTGAAGCACAGATCAAGCGATGGATTATTTATGGTTCGGCAATGCTGCGCAACATGGTCGTGTTTCATCTGCCGTCCATGAGGGTAGAATAAAGTTAAAACCACTAGCAAAGTATGTACCCACGCTAGTACTGTTGTAGATGCAAACCCTAGTAAGATATAGGGCGTCCTCGACCAGCAATTTCCACCTCACACCTTCCCCCTGTACATTGAATCAAAGTCTAGAGGTGTCCAGGTTTAATGGACTGCCGGGCCATTGATTCGATATGCTGTTGAGAAATGTTGAAGAGTTGGCACAGATATTATAGGAGAAGTGTAGTGTTGATACCTCAGCCGGCTCAGAGAGCAATTGGGTGCTATCTAATAATAGGTAAAGACTCGCGCGGGCCCCGGTTAGACCAAGACGCCCTCGCGTGCTACAGCGTGACTCAAATTTGGGATTGCGTGTGGCCTTACTGAGGAGCCATTCATAAGCTCCTGCTATCGCCTTAATACATTGCTTAGCGAGTCTTTACACCCTTAACTTTATATATATGTGTACCTGGCAGGTAATAGGAGCCTTTTCAAGTTTGTCGATGTATCATCAGCAGTGATACCCATCCTCCTTCGCATAAAAACAGAAAACCATACCCTTATCTTTAACTCTAATACCTTACCCCCTGTATTCTTGCCGGAAACATCTGCGGCTATCATACTACATTCAAACGTAGCGTTGAGAAGCTTTATGGATTTGAGTATGTTTGAAGTAAATTGGTAACAGTCAGTTAGAAACATCTACTAAAAGGCTGCCAAAACAGGATAGTGAAAGTTTGGGTAGATTTCCCGGTGATATTATAAACACCCCAGTCTACTGCGTGGTGAAAGCCGCTGCGTCCGCACGTCGCAATCACTCATAAAACCAAACAGTAGGCAACACAAGGAAAGGATTATTAGTGCTGACCATGTGCCGCGTAAGCAAAGGTAAGCTTACTACTGGAGTATATGTAGCAGCTAAATGCGCAGCTACAATAGGGTCATCTTTCACCATATTTCAAGACACCATGTCATTGACCAGATCGAGATCCAGATCGAAATGCCGTGGCACCAAGGGCGGCAGAGAATCCAGGCAAAGCCTCAACTCTCATTCGTGTGGACCCTTATCCGATGAATCAACGGACAAATACAACATCCCAGGCACACAAAATCTACAATCAGAGATTAGCACCTCGACTGACTGCCTTCTGATGGAGGGAGACCATGGCTTGTTACTTCTTTCCCATCTGCCAGCCTTTGGTACTAATCAGCTTTTACCGAATAGGGGACCGCCAGATCTTGCCGCGCTGATACATCGACATTATCGTGCATTCCAATTTCCCGCGTTCCTAACAAACCCTGACTGGACATGGAAGAAGGCCACAACCGAAGTTATCGCATTGCAAAAAGCGTTCCCTCCAATCAAGGAAGACCAAGAATGCATGCTGGCCATGGCTGCTTGGTTCCATTTCCTTTGCAATGTCGATGATGAGATTGAACAAATGGATAGCTCAGGGAGAAGTTTGATACTTGAACGGATCATCGAAGCACTACGCGATATCAGCTTAGACCGACTTCGTCAGATGGAACATATTAAGCCGAAACGGGATTTTATGGATATTCTTCAAAGGGTAAACATGAGCTTGCATCGCAAAGTCCCGCTCACGACGCAAGAAAGGATGGATATCAGCAATGTTCCCGAAGCATATTTTGATATTGTGGATCAACAACCGACAATCAACGACGACGTTGTGGAAAGCAGACATGCAAAAGTAATCGCACTTGCAAGTAACTTCATTCGGCAATGTCAAGCGGTCATATCACCTGAGACTCTTCCCAAAGTTTTTGCTGAGGTTATCAACGTCGTAGAAGCATTGAGGGATGAATCTGCTTACCGGGAGAGCAATGTGCTGCCAAGCATCGAAGCGTATTTGCGGCTGCGGGTGCGAACAATAGGTCTATCGCCCTTCTTTGCTATCTTAGCAGACACGCTAGTTGGCATTGAAGCTCACCAGGCAAAGGAGTTCAAGACTGGGAACAATGACGAGGAAAAAGATCTACACGACGACGGGATGACCTCCAGTACTGGCAGCAGCAACCCAGGCTTTTGGACCTCACCTCTGCACAAGAGATTGTGCGATTGCATAAAAATTACCGTTGGGTTGCAGAATGACATTGTGGGTCTCGCCAAGGACATGGAAAAAGGCGAGCGCATGAATCTGGCCGTACTACTGGTTGAACAGCAAAATGAGTCTACCCAAAGCCTTGAGGCTATTCAGGCGGCACTGTCTACAGCCGTCTTCATGCATAATACAGAGATGCAAAACGTGATAAGACATTGGGCAGACATTAAGACTGCAGATTACTCACCTGCGGTGCAGGTGTATGCTCACTCGCTCATGGCGTTTACCCGAACGCATCTTACATGGGCTACCCAGACAGATCGATACCATTTGAAACATACAACCATTTCAAAAATATTCTCACGCGTGGCTGAAAGCACAGCTATAGAGGGACTAAGATTCAAGGCAAGGGTGTTACGGACGCGAAAGTCACTGCGGCAGTTTGCAGCCAGTCACGTAGTAGGACCCATCTAGCTCTAGTAATATTACTATTATCATTCAACAGCGATTTGTGACGATAAGAAGTTCCTTCTGATAAGTTATTCAACTACAGTTTGAATACAAAAACTCTCGTAGCCCGCCGTCACGAACACCCTCGCTATAGGTGTTCATGATACAACCATTACCCTCAACCTTGCAAGGGAATGCCTATTTATTTATTAGTAGTGTTTCTTAAGGTTAGGATTTTGATATCATACCTTACGGCATGCCTGCCAGCCCTCAAAGACACCACCGGTAGAATATTTCGAGCAGTGCCCGTGAGGGGCGTCCTCATCCGATGTTTTTGTACATACAGTCTAGTAGGCTGAAGTTAGAAGGCCATTATAGTAGAAGGTTTTACAAGATATAAGGGGATGCCTCACCCAGGTATCACGCCGACCAAGACGAGCGTCAGCATTTACTTCTTGGCTAGGATGTCCATAGGCTGTTAGTGATAAGCCTAGCAAGATATATAAAGAGGGGAAGAGCATTTTAAAGGCGGCGTAATATCTTTAGAAGATGGGATTTGTACTGATAAGGAGGGTTATTTTAGAGAAGGATCGAGAATATATCATGTATATACATAGCAGTATAGATATATATAGTCTTTGTACATGCTTTTGGCATAGTTAGTATTGGTTATGATGAGGCATTCAAACCTAGTAAATAGCGCATGCTACATACCGCCGACTTGGTATTTCCTTGGCTCTCTAGCATACTATTCTGCGATAGCACTAGAGTAGCATAATTTCCCATCTGATATAACAAAAGCTAGTAATACTTGTAAACCTAAGGTGTTAACTTTACCATCTTACTGAACATGGTAAGTACGGTTTAGATGAGGAGTTTATGTATTTTGTATAGACGTTAACCCTTTGGAGATAGTGACGATTTAGAAGCGATTGGATTGTGCGGCCTTATTACTCGGAAATTTTCTTGAATTCGGCCCGACAATCCCTAAAACGACTTTGCCGTATCCCCTAAACTTATGCGCAGTCTTCGTCTTTGACTAGATAAGATACAGACATATCTATGTCGTGGTATGACACCAGAAGATATTCATCAAGTATTTCAGCTGAGGCCTTTTAGACCAGAGGAAAATCAATCGTCCCAGGCGCAGCTTATTCTGAATATGACTTTTCCACGACAATTTGTTTTAGTAGACGTAAGCATCCCACTGGTTGACAGTGAATAAGGCTGGGCCGCCAGTGAAAGCTTCGGTACCAAATTCGAAAGCTATGATAATATTAGCTTGATCGCTTTATAACGGTATAAAATCTGTCAATCTTACTAATAAGGTTCTGGCTAGAACCAGGAAAGCCCATATTATCTGGGAGATAGGTGAAGAAGTCCAACATGCTGGCATCAAAATTGTAGATGGTGTTGGAGGCAACAAAGCTATACACTTCCATGGCGCCGTTGAGTCCTGCAAACAGCTCCCAAGTTTGTCCAGCAACAGTGACGGTCCCCTGTGACGTTCCAATTGGGTCTACACTATATCTAGCGAGCCTATAATTCATGTAAGTACTCAAAGACAGGGAAAATGGCCAAGACAAACCCACCAGACCATAAGCTCGTAATCGCCACTAGTAGTAGCGTGGTTGACATTTGCAGATGTGAACAAGTCGTATGCAACATCACAGCGAATATTAGTAGTGTTGTAGACCCAATAGGCCTCGGTTTTCATGCTAGTATACTGCGTAATTGGCTTCTTGGTGAATTGAAGCGCCGAATAAACATAGCTCTTAACATTATTTTGGCCACCCTGCCACTCCCAGGTTGAATGCCACTTTGCTCCAGTTGAGCTAACGCTATCAACGTAGGTGCACTGGGAGCCAGAGCTTGCAGAGCTGATACCCCAGAGGTTGTTGATGACCTCATAGTTGTTGCTAGAGTAGGACTGGTAGTTTTGGCAGAGAGTTTCCTCTGCAACTCCTCCAGATGCGAGAAGGCTAAGGATGAATGATGCGACCTTCATAGTAGGCGAGTGGAAGGCGAAAAGAAGACGAGTAGCTAGTGGCGATGGGCTCAGATGCTGTTTGATGTTATTTTGACTAGTCTTTGGCCAGCCTTTTATACAGGTTTCTCGGTTGCACTGTTCTTTCAGGCGCGATCCGCCCCGAAATTCCGGCCAACTCTGTTGAAGGGTTGCTAAAGGAGTTAGTCTTGGATAACAGTGTAAGACGGATAGCCAATCGGATGGTATTCAGCAGCCCTAGCAGAATGGCGGGGTATCGGCGAAGACATGTGGGTAAAAAGAAGCATGAAGAGATGGACGTCTATTAGCTGGACATTTGCCGGGTGTATGTACCGACTACAAGGGCGCTGGCTAGGTGTGGCAGAATTGTGTATAGTGTTAATCGGAAGCGTACCCGATATTCCATTTTACGTGTCAGGTCCATGCTCGTGAGAGAGAAAAAGTGTGTATAAGAGGATAACTAGGTGTATTATTATTATTATTATTATTATTATTCTAGTTTAACGTCCTTTTTCAGCCCGAAGGGCTATATAAGACGTGTAGGGTTTTTAGGCCTATAAGTATCTAAGTAGGTTGTTTCTAGCTACGATATTTAGGAGGGGTTTTAACTGAATAAAGGTAAGGCTCGTAGCCTATTAGTTGGTAGGTAGGGGGGGGGATAGGGTAGGGGA